ATTAGAAACTAGAAAAAAAGTTGCTTTTTTTTAACTTAGAGCCAAGATTTTAATCGTTTATGAGCCGTGGTGGCTCAGAGAATAAAGCTATCGCCTTCCAACAAGATGACCCGGGTTCGAATCCCAGCTGTAGCTGGTCGATTCAAATTCCTCATCCGGCTTACCCCGACCACAGTGTTGACGTGAAATATCCTCAGTGGTAGACGAATCATGGGTTAGGGTCTCCTTGACGTTAGGTTAACTTTGGGAGGTTCTTGTAGTTTTCCTCTCTATGTGAAGCAAATGCGGGCTAGTTCCATTAAAAAGTCCTTCATGAAGGTAAATTTCTCCCAATACTTGATCCCAGCCTTCCTTGTCTTCTGAATTAGGTTCAAAGTTGCAAGTCTACGGAGTTGAACATTAGTGAGCGAAAATTCAGAATGCTTTTCAACGATGGTTATAAAATCGTTGTTTATACAAACAACGATTTTATATACAACGAGTATGCTTGAAGCAACTGTTGTTGTTTTTTTTAATCAATAAATGTAGTAGATTAGATATCATTGCAGAATAATATATCATCTCTTTTTTGTGTTACTTTGGATTTTCAAACTGGTATGTTTCTAGAATAAAACAACATAATTCCCAATAATTCTATGCAATTAAATTTTTTTTTTGCTTCACAATAAATTATTTTATCGTAATTTCATCCGGAATTTCTTAGAGTGTAGCCATAAAACAGTTGTTTCTACAAAAATGGAAACTATTCACTTATATGTGAACTGAAAAGAATTGCGTATACTTACGTTTCTTACGTCCAAACAGCTCCATTAGGAATTTATTAAGATCTATTAGGGAACATAAATAAATTTAAATAGGGGTCTAAGCTCGTTGTTTGTTGCCACTCACTAACCCTAATGATTGCCCCACAACTGCTGTTTCTTCATTGTAAGAAATTCTTGATAAAATTACTGAAAATTCCTGGCTACATTTTACCTCAAAGGCTTTTACCCGTAGCTTTTACAATAATACTTCTTTAAAAGTGATTCAAAGATTTAACAGTAAATCTTACTGTATAAAAATTACGCTATTATAAATTTTTCGTTTGTAAAAATTTTACAGCAAAAATGGATTTTACGGTAAAAATACCAGCACACAGTATACCAGTACTTTTAATTGCACTTTTATTTGGAATTTTTTACAGTGTAGGCACAATACAGTTTTTTCTACAAAAGTTAAAGCTATTTACTTATATATGTACTGAAAACAAGAGTGTTTGTTAACGATTCAACTTCCATACATTTCCCTTATTTAAATACATTCTATTAAGATCTTAGTGAGCATAAATAATGTTGCTCAATTAATAATATTTTAATTTAATTTTTAATTTTAATAATTTCAATTTTTTTAATTAAAATTATTAAAAATTTATAATTCTAATTGGTTTTCTTTAAATAACATTTAAAATGCCATCTATTATAATAACACATTTGGTGAGTTAAATAAACCGTAATTTAAAATTTTCTCTTACCAAACAGGCTGTCTTATTAAATAAAATTCGTGTATGCATAATGACATTGTGCATGAAGCCTATCTAAATCATTTAATGAATCACTTTAAATGTAATTAGCATATTACTAAAATTTCTATAAAAAATAATACAAATTGTTAAGCAAGAATAAGTTTAGACACCGATTCAAATAAGTTAATATTAAATTTTAGCTCAATACGGTAATATTAAAGAATTACGATGTAAAAAGTTTTTTTTTTTTAAATTTTAGTTGAGAAAACAATCAAAATAAAATCTTAATAATATTAGAGTGGAATAAGAAAATATATATTGCAGGTAAATATTTTTAAATTGGGGATATAAAAATATTTTTCTAGGAAAACTATACCTTAAAATGACTTATTAATTTTTGTGCTGATAAACAACCAAAAAATATGGAAGTCAGTAAGGGGATACTGGATACTACCATGTGATTTTCCAGCTATTAAAAACGTCTACTAAACGGTCTTACTACAATATAAGACAACTTTAGTTTTATTATTTACACAAAAACATTATAATGAATTAAAAAAAGAGCTGAAGCCGGCGAAATGTTTTTATAAACAGGCTTTAAATAGCAAAAGTAAATTCATGATTGATTAAAGTTATACTTCAACGTTTTAGATAATAAAGGGTTGTACAAAGATAATGTATTTAGTGTTGTACGCAAAACAATCACCGATTGAGGTACAAAAGTATATGATATTTTATCTTTCCCATTTTCTCCAGAAATGTTATCAAAATCAACTGCATATGAAAAACATAACCCTTTTTTAGCCTTTTTCTAGTTCATTTTTAAACGGTACGCAAAAAACTTGAACTCTCTGGAAAACTTGTATTTTTATGATCGGATTTTCTGTACTAAGACTAAATATTAATAGTTAGTTCTAACCTGAAGTATTACAGACTATAATTTACATTTTTTAAATCAAACATAAAAACGTACTCAGTCTCTTTAAGTTTAGCACTTAGTTCCGATAAGTACCCAACAAAATCTCTGATTTACATGCATATACGTGCAGTGAGCAAGGATAAAGCATAACACTTAGCTCGGATATGTACCCAACTAAAGCTTTAATTTATATACATTTACGCGCAGAGCAAAAAGAAGTATCGATAAGTACCCAACGAAGCCTTTTTATTTAAATACATTTACGTGCAGCGCATACAGATAAAGTAAACACAGTGTCAAGATCAAAGGATCACAGATAAAGGAAACACTGGATCCACTGAAACTGAGTATTAGTGCATGAAAATTCAATCATTTGAACAAAAGTTAACCAGGGTGTTAGCTTGCCTTGGTTCCACCATTCTTGTTATATACAAATTTAACTGTTAACGTAAGAAGTTACGTTGCTGTCGTCGTTTGTTGTTTCTAATGACACTTGCCAATACCAGGAAGCCTGTTTGGTGCAACCAAGCTAATTTAAGGCAGGGGTTACGTTTCTTGCCATTTAGTGGCGACATCGATGACCAAGAATATGACTTCAGCCACTTTTTAATCATTGTGCATTTGTTTTAAAAAGTCGGGCAATTATATCAGAATTATCCTTTTCTTTTAAAAAGCAAAAGCTGCAAAAGGGTTAGAATTAAAGTAACAGTTCTATTGAACGGATTTGCACAATGATTTATATATGTATGTAATGTAGATCATAGGGCAAAGGTTCAGTTCGAAAAAAAAAGACTGTTTGGAAATTTTACCAATAGATAGCGGTACTACTACCACATACTGGGTGCTTCAGAATTTTTGCTAGAAACTCTAATGGGAGGTAGAGGAATCACAAAGATTCAGAATTTCATAGCAACCCATGGTCGGAAGCGTCATGAGAATGCAGCATGACGAGAAACAACCACCACCATCGCTAGCGATCACTCAAATACACCTGGGTTTTGTTAGATATTACAGCAGCACAGATGATTCTTGCAACCAAATACATTTCGGAATTCATTCATTCAACATTCCAGATTCATTTTCATTTCAGTGCACCCTAAAGAAGGAAATCAATGCAGCTTACACCAGGAATGCGTAGTGGCCAGGCAACTGGTCAACCCTACCCAATCCATCGGTGACCAAACAATTGATTCAAATGCTCACGAACACATCTGCCTTAACGGAGAGTTGCCCTATAATGTTGAAACCACATATGACTCCCGACATGTTATGGCAGAGTGTCAAATGAGTTTGGTAGCAGCTCTTGCAAAAAGATGAGATGATTTGAAGATGTTAGAGGTGACGGCAACAAATAAGACCCGATTAAAGTGGTTGCACGCAACACCAGCCCAAACATTCACTGAAACGCGATGTTAGGCAGCATGTAGTCTTACACCATCAGCATTCTCGCCAGTCCACAAATGCGCATTGCGGTGTTTGAATGCACTATCTCGGGTGAAATACACCTCCCGTAAATTAAGAAAAGAGATGGTCGTAGGCTCTTAGATCCGTTCAGTAGAACTGGACCCAAGAGTCTATGAGCACTGTCAGTTTAATTTAACTGTTGCGAACTTTAAACTACCTTGAATATGCTTCACCAATAAGGTTCTCGATCGCATCTTCGAATGCGATCTGTGTGAATGGTCCTTTGTGACATTCTCGTCTGCCAAATATAAATAGACGGCTGAAGTTATTATTGTAAGACGAAACTTGAATATATATTGCTTGCAGAAGAAAGTGGTAATGTAATGTGAAGCTAATCCTTTTCGAATTTGCAACAGAAACAGTATCCGATTTTTTTATCACCATAAATTAGGCCAACTTAATCGCGTCCCTGATTATTCCGAGTTAACTCGGGTATGTATATATTGCACATATTTATTATCCCGAGTAAACTCGGGCATAGCAGAATTCTTCAATACGTTTTGTTTTGCCACGTTTTTACTCGGCAGGAAGCGAAACAAAAAATAATGATAATCTGCTGTGATTGGAGGTTTTCCAATTTTTGTTTGGGAGTTATGCTGTTAGTGAGACTGTAGACGTGTTTTGTGCAATTGTATATACGATGGTTGATGAATTTACATAAAAAAAATGGCATTCGCGAGACAAAGTAAATTCGATGCAGGTGATCTTTCAGATTATGAAGGTGTGAACATATACAAAGACTAATATTTAACTTTTTTCATTTGCCCAAGATAATTTGGGATAATAAATGGATGGTAAATTAAATATTTTTTTTACGCGTAAAAAAATTAAAATTTCAACTTAGAACCTGTGGATTATGTTTGGTTTTAGTTCCTTGTATTTGCTAATGAAATAAAAAAATATGTTGCATTTTTTCCAAAAAAAATTGGCAAGAGAAGCGGTTAACCAATTTTGTTAAGTAATAATTTACTTATTGTTTAATTTTTGACAACCAGGCAAGTATTTTGAGCGACATAATAAAGTAGGCGTCAAAAAATTTATTAAAAAAACAAAACAATAAAATTAATAGTTTAAGGAAATGCTTAATAACGATTGATTATTTTTGTTATCCAACAGAAGGAGCTGCATTCGTCGAGGAGGAAGTTGCGACCACAGACCCAGTGACTGCTGCTACAGTTCTTCTTGCCGCTGTAATCTCTGGGGAACGAACTGTCGCTGCCAGAGAGTCGGCATATTCCAAAAGTGGGGTAAATAGACAACCCCCCCACATGCAATTCACAAATTCTAGTCATTCCCCCTTACCCCCACAGTTTATCTCAAACTGTTTTTGTTTTCTTGTTTCACATCCCCAATGAATGTCTCGACAAAATCTGATTCCAGAAATTCATACTCAATGTTTTGATCCCCAAATTGAACAACAACCCGCTTTCATCGGACATTTTCTTTTTTTTCAATTAAACTTAGATTTTTCAAAAATAATTACAAGACTACTGAAACATATTTGCAAAACCCGATCTATAAAAAAAAAATTCCTCTCACAATGTTTCAGAATGTCCTCTTTTGTTTAACAATTGTAACTTATATTTTTCTGCTTTGTATATATATAAAACAATCTTTTTCCACTGTTTGGACTATCCTATTTGTGAAAAGAATTCTACTTTAATAAAACGTATTCATTTATTTTTTAAGTCATTTCCTTGCAATAAATGATTGTTGTCTCTTATTAATCTCTTATTTCTTCGCAATAAAACACATCAAACAATAAACACTTGTTACCACCTAAAGTGTAAAAATTAGTTATTCTACAGATTGTCTAGTGCAGATACGAGGATTTGTTTTTTTAAATAAGGGCCGTTTTGTTGTGTACCTGCGTCGCAGCGAGTGCCTGCGTCGTGTCCCGGCATTCCTTGGGAGCAACTGTGCCTGTAGGTCAGTGTTTCCCAAAGTGTGGTACGCGTACCCCCAGGGGTACGGGAACAGTTTAGCGGGGGTACGCTTTCTTATGCGAAATATCATGCAACATACGAAAATTTCAAAAAAAAGTTTTTAAAAGCAAAGCTAGCCATGGAAAATTACGATTACGTATTTTTCTATTGGCTATTTTTTGCAGAGTTAACACTTAATAATTAGTGGTGTCAACAGCCAGTTGTGATTTTTAACTTGCAATTTGCAACGTGCAATTTGTTTATAGTAAAAAATACATTTATTTTTTTATTAGTGGTAAACAGGGATACGAAAAATTTAGAAAGGGTACACAAAAGTCATAAGTTTGGGAAACACTGTTGTAGGTAAACTGTACGGTCAGGTCTGTGTCTTTACAATGTTCACATTTAACAAGTCTCTCGCCACACACGAGATGCAGTCAGTGATGACTTTTTAGTCGACGAAAAAAAACTGCCTGCTACATACTGGTAGATTTGTAAAGTTACGATTAGTGAAGTAGCAAAATTCTTTGCCAATGCTTACAGAGAATTTTGCTACTCTATGACAGTGACTTTCTCGGCAGCTCAGATCCCAGGTTTATTGGACTCTTTTGGTTGGAAAGTTTTGGTCCACCCCTCTCTACAGCCTAGACCACGAGCAAGTAATTTTTATTTTTTTCCGATATTTCAAACATCATTTTGAAAGCAATCACTACAACGATACGTGAAAACGGCCGCGACCTCTTTGTTAACGGAGCAAACGGCATGTTTGTATGAAGAAGGTATTCTAAATCTAGTTCATGATAAGTGTTTAAAAAAAAACTTTGCAACTAGGCTGCAAATAAAGAGAAACGTATGTATAGAATCTGAAAATAAATTTGCTTCTTGAAATTTTCTTTCGTTTGGTTTTTATTTTCAAACGCCTCTTACTTAAAAAACAACCCTCGTATATTCAGGGTGATCTGTTTAATTGCCAAAAATTGTTCCAGTTCCAAAATTATCTAGATGAGTTAAATCGTTAAAGTGAAAGTAAAATCTTTGCTGGTACAACAGCAAAAGTTTCATGCACTCTTAAATTATTATAATGCATTTATATTTCGAACTATCAAGTACAATAACAAACAAGCGACACGTTAGTTCACACGTAATCAATTACATATAATCCACGCAAAAAGTAACAAGCGATACATAATAATCAATCACTTTAAAAAATGTTATTCGAAAAATGAAATAGTTTAAAATATTATAATTAAGGAAATTGACGTAATAATATTGTTTATTCTGCAATATCTAAGGAATCAAGTAAAGACAATCAATAGACTAGTTGATGGAAAAGAGAAAATAACTTTTGATCTCCATCAAAACGGAAGTTGTTGGTTTGCAAATTACACAGTTAAAATGCGGAAAATACTTGATTCTGCACTTTAATGGAATAACTCAGTTATTCTGTAGATGAGATAGGTAATGTGTACTTTAATGGCTTTCGAGATTTAGCGGTAACAGATACACACAATAATAATAGCACGCCAGATTGCGCATATTATTACCCATAATAATGTAGTTGTAGTTTATTTACGTCACGCTAGAGCTACACAATGGGCTATTCGTGAGATTGCCAATTAACTAATGAATAATTTTATAAATAAAATATTTAAATTAGTCGAAAACGTCCTTGGCAAAAAAAAGGTTATATAGGAGTTTTCACTTGTCTCCGTACATATGTTTATAGTTGAAAATTTTTGGGAAACCTACAAAACAGGCGTCTCAAGGTTGTATGATTTCCTCACTCTCCACACTTTTACCCCCTCCATTACCATGGTTTTTAACAAATCTTGCTTTTTTCGCCCACAACTCTTCGAAGAAAAAAAAAGGTTGTACAGGAATTTTAACTTGTCTAGTCTAAGTACATATTTTTGTAATTGAACATTTTTAGAAAATCTACAAAACGGGCGTCTCAAGGTTGTGCGATTTCTCCACTCTCCACACTTTTACCCCCCTCCTATGATTTCGACAAATCTTGCTTTTTGCACACACAACTCTATTCTAACTTCTTACTGAAATATACAGGCAGGATGAAAAGACAAAATTTGTCATCACCATGGTAACGGAGAGGAGAAAAATGAGAGGATTGGAGAAATTACCTATACTATTAACAAACGCTATAGATGTTTGCATTCGCACATTTGGACAAAATAATTTTCTTAGGTGTTCAATATCTTCTTCAGAGCATATGGGGGTGTTTTCGGAAAATATGAAACTCAAGTTTCAAGAAATCCCACAGTGCAAAACATAATAAAAAATTTCTAAACTGTCAGACAGATCACAAAAATAAAAAAAGGACAGTTACAAGTCCCTGTAATACATTTCTAAAAAAGGGTTACATAGCATTTTCTACCTGTCTCAAACGTGTTTTTATAAGTAGCATTTAAGGATGCTGCGTATTCGCGTTTTGACACAATTGTCATTTTTTTTTTAAAAAAAATATTCTGAAGCCATTTCTGGGACGTACGGGTATTTTTAATAGTTTAACGCCCATTGTTATTCTCACGAAACCGGTTAAAATCGAAACCAGAGATGCAAAAATTTATAAAAACTACTTCATTATTCCTTGGATTAAAACAAACGACTAAAGTGCATACAGTACATGGCCATATTATGAGACGCACTGTAAGATTCTATGTAAAATTATAATTATCAGGGGATACTCTTTACAGCTTTATTGTTTTTACTCAGCTTAAACCGGTTTGCATTTGTTTACGCTCTTGTATTAATGGGTTAACATTGCAATGCAATACGTAAAAAATAAATAGAAAGTATGTAAAAAAATCTCTTGAATAAAAACCCAATTCATGTATGTTCAAATATAAAAGTATTGCCTATAAACTCGTGCAAATCATGTCATTATTAAAACACGACAGTCAGAGCCGGATAATACCTTTCGTGGGCCCTAGGCATAGCCGTTTTTGGGCCCTCCCCTCCTTCCCCCACTCCTCCCCTCTTTTCAAAATATATGCTAAAATTTTCTTGCATATTTTTTTTTACATTTCTATTAATATGGATTTTAATTTACAAATTTGTTTATCGAACTTTATCTGCAATACCGACATACTGCCGATATTGCAGTTGATATCGATAATAC